TTTTTAGGCAGATTGTACAAGTAAAATATATATAATTGCATAAATATAACAGAAACCATATTATTATGCAATGATATAAATTTTACTAAATGTTATTAGACACATTGTACAAGTAAAATATATATCATTGTATAATAATATGATTTCTATTATATTTATACAATGATATAAATTTTACTAAATGTTATTAGACAGATTATACAAATAAAATATATATCATTGTATGATAATATGATTTCTGTTATATTTATACAATTATATAAATTTTACTAAATCTCATTAGACAAATCGTATGAATAAAACACAAATATAACATAAATGATATCATTGCACAACAATATAAATTTCGCTAAACGTCATATTGGACCAATATCTTCGAAAATGTCCGATTCGCGCAAAGTTCCACGGTCCAATCCGGAAATATATCCATTGTCGAAGGGGCGGGAGAAAACGGCGGGAGAATCGAATCGATTTCCGTTGGGAAACGCGAAGGGTCCAACGTAGCTACGCTCCTGCGGTTGCCAAAAAGTGCTCGAGGACCCCCGTTACGTTGCGCTGTTCGACAAGAAAATTTGCCTCCGAGCTTGAACCGCGCATATCGCGCGCATACGTGTTCACATATAAAACTCGTACGGAGCGTCGCGGCCGCGTCGGTGCATATGTACGGGAGCGGGACGGGCGACGGCTGATTTATCGGTCGACATTTTTTCGGGGGATTTTTATTACGTTTTGATCCTTTCGCGCATACATTTTAGCGAACGGGCTCCCCTAATATGGCGACCCTCGTCGCACGGCCGACTGGGAACTTTTCGTCGAACGCGCGCTTTTCCGAAATATTTTAGGACGTCGCGCAGCGCCTCGTTCAATGGACAAAAGTCGAAAATTCATGGCTTACGATAGAGCTTCGAATACTCGTGAAGGTACATTTTAATTCTATTTACAATTTTTAACCGATTAAGAGTAATTTATTGTTGAGGTTGCGTCTAGGTTATGTCTAGGTTATGTCGGAGAACTTTCCGTCGAACGCACGCTTTTCCGAAATATTTTACGACGTTGCGCAGCGCCTTGTTCAATGGAGGAAAGTTGAAATATCCCGATATCGAAAATTTATGGCTTACAATATAACCTAAAATACTCGTGGAGTGTACATAGATTTTAATTCTATTCGCAATTTTTACCGATTTAATCCCATTTATTGTCAACGTTATTTCTAGGTTATGTCCAAAAACTTTCCGCCCGTACAATTCTGTTCCGCATCGATCGTTGCATTTGTGTAATTCTGCTCGAGAAAGCATTATAAGCGTGAAGAACGATTAGTTCAGAGGTTATGATTTCGCGTCCCGAATTACCGTATGCGCGAGAAGCGCTGCGCGCCGTCGAGCGTCTCGTTAACTCCTGAAATTATTCACGGAAACGCGCGCGACCGGAATTTATCATCCGCATCTCGATCACCGACGTGTAATAACGTTTTATGTTAATCGGGCTCGGTTGCGCCGTTATCAGCGAACCGGGGATCTTTATGCGTTTCCGCCGCATCGAAGGATCGTCGAAGATCTCGTTGCGGTTGCAACGTCGCACGAAAATCTCACGGATTTCTCGTTTATTTTTCGCTCCATTTCTCGTTTAATTTTTCGTTCCACTTCTCGTTTAATTTTTCGTTCATTTTTCGTTTATTTTTTCGTTCATTTCTCGTTTAATTTTTCGTTCATTTCTCGTTAATTTTTTCTATTTATTTCTCCGTTTATTTCTCGTTCATTTTTCGTTTATTTTTTCGTTCCATTTCTTGTTTATTTTTTCGTTCCATTTCTCGTTTAATTTTCGTTCCATTTCTCGTTTAATTTTCGTTCATTTCTCGTTTAATTTTTCGTTCATTTCTCGTTAATTTTTTCTATTTATTTCTCCGTTTATTTCTCGTTCATTTTTCGTTTATTTTTTCGTTCCATTTCTTGTTTATTTTTTCTATTTATTTCTCCGTTTATTTCTCGTTCATTTTTCGTTTATTTTTTCGTTCCATTTCTCGTTTATTTTTTCGTTCCATTTCTCGTTTAATTTTCGTTCCATTTCTCGTTTAATTTTCGTTCATTTCTCGTTTAATTTTTTGTTCATTTCTCGTTTATTTTTTCTATTTATTTTTCCTTTATTTCTCGTTCATTTTTCGTTTATTTTTCCTTTATTTCTCGTTCTTTTTTCGTTCCATTTCTCGTTTAATTTCTCCTTTATTTCTCGTTTATTTTTTCTATTTATTTCTCGTTCATTTTTCTTTTCTTTTTTCGTTCCATTTCTTGTTTAATTTCTCCTTCATTTCTCGTATATTTTTTCTATTTATTTCTCGTTTATTTCTCGTTCATTTTTCGTTTATTTTTTCGTTCCATTTCTCGTTTCATTTTTCGTTCATTTGTCGTTTATTTTTTCTATTTATTTTTCATTTATTCCTCGTTCATTTCTCGTTTATTTATCGTTCGTCTCGAACAATATCGACGAAAATCACGTCTCAAGATGCACGAGGGCACATTTGCATGAAATTTTTCCGTCCCATTCGGCGACCGGTAATACAAGATTATTCACCGAAATTTATACAAGAATTATTCAACTAAGGTAAGTGTTTTTATTTAACCGGGAACGGTAAAAATTAATATCATAATTTCTTACATGTTTAATATCGATAATTTACGACATACAAGTAACAACAATCGCAGTTTTAATTCGTTTATCGACATTTGATATTTATATATAAAACGTCGAGTCTTTTAAAAGAAACACTCGTAACGACATCTGTAAACGCTGATTCGAAAGGAATTTATATTTTGGTAATTAGTAATAAGCTATCTAGTCATTTTAGCGTTATTTTTAGACAAAGTAATCGTTGCTTTCATACAAAAGAAAATCGACTTACACAGTCACTGTGTCGTCTATCCTCAAATATTATTTATTAACACGGTTGCATTTGGCGCGTAGTTTTTTTTCTGCTATGTGTGTACATTGCTGCGGTGCTTTACCGAAGTGCGCACCTTAACCTAGCCGGCGCAGTTCTCGATGAGCCGGCGCGTAGATTGTAGAGTACCTAACCTAATTTTGTGAAGTGCTACAGTGAGATTATCTTGATGCTAAGAATTATGGTTGTGTGTGTACATTTAAAAGAAAATGGATCATGTCGACCTTGGACACGCAGTGATCGGAACGTTCGCGGTATTTGGCTTGCAATAATAGATACATAACCTCGGTAATACATGCACACTTTACATTACGCTTTTCGATGAAATCCGTGCTCTCGGAGACGTAATATTTTGTGAAAAGTGACTATTCAAGTTGAAGAATAATAGGCGTAGCTCGAGTTGTCGATTTATCGGCGCGAAAGCTCTTGTTTTCTCCGACAAAGTTCGCCATCGTTGAGAACAGTGATTTTGAATTTTGCTGCCGAAGTTGCCGTAGTTCGTGTTACAAGTTAAAAAGCACAGTAGATCGACGCTCGAACGGAACGGACCTGTTGCACGAAAATATAATCGAGCATGCAAACAGATCGTTCACGCGTTTATTTATCGATTCTCCTTCGACTGTAGTTTCGTCGAGGCGCCGCGTCTGCTGGACGCGGCGTTAACATTGAATTTCGACGAAAATGAAACGCGAAACCGACCGCGTCGAAATTGTCCGCCTCTCGCGACGTTTCGGGAGAACAACGTTGTCGTTTGTAATCCGAGAACGTCCGCCAAGTTACGCGCACTATTATCGTACATATATACAAATTACATTTACGTAGAATGTTTCCAGAATCGCGTTTAAAACTCCGGGCAATTTGACCGTTGCACGACGAACAAAACAGGCTTCGAAAATCCACTCGAAATCGCTCCGCCAATTATTCGACGGCGGATCTCGAATGCGAGTTCTCGTTTTGAGCGCGTGTGTTTTTTTTGCGAGATTCAGAATCAAAGAAACGGATAGATTTTCGGTCAGTGAAATTCCCTCGCTAGCGCGTCGACTATCCTCTGAAACGTGACGCTGTCCAGACCGCAAAACGGCATCTCCCGGGGCTGGAGGGGGGTTGATCTTCTCCGTCGGCGACGGAATATGTCGTCGAACTCGTCGACGGTGGTCGGAGGGTTCACCTTGGCGTAGTAGAGCGCCGCGAAACCGCTGTAGATCAGGAGAGCAGCGGTCGCAAGCTGGAAATCACGATTTCAGAATAAAGGATAAGAAATTGTCCGACTTCGAGCGACGATAACTCCGCGAATAATCGTCGTAGGATGATCGTCTTTTTTAAAAATTGAAGCTTGAAATCTGTACTTCAAGACGCTATTTTGCGATTTTTAATTGGACGCATCGTCGACGCTGTAACCACTTAAATACGAGGCCATGTTTGCCACATCGGAAATCGCCAAGTTCGACGAAATGCACGGACTTTGAAAAATCTTTTTCGGAAATGCCGTTTACAGGTGAATAAAGTTCGATCCTTCCTCTTTAATTTAAAAAAAGAGGAACGGAGCTGCGATTTTTTAACGCAAAGTTACAGGACTTTTAAGTATACCTTGCATCGTCACCCGGCGATGACTTTTGGCAGAGTTATCGACAAATGTGCATGGGTCGCTTCAAAGTGCTGTAACTCTGTGAAAAACAAATCGCAGCCCAGTTTCTTTTTTTGGAAATTAAAGAGGATGGATCGAACTTTATTCTCCTGGAAATGGCATTCCCGAAAAAATTTTCCAAAGTCCGTGCGTTCGGTTCAATTTGAAAAAAAGTTAACGTGTTTTGAAAGGTGTACGAATACTTTCGTGTCCGACTGTACGTATACGATCCAGTATAAAATCGTGAAAGCCTATATTGAAATAGAGGTTTCAAGCTTTAATATAAAAAAACATGATCATCCTAGGATGATTTCTCGCGGAGTTATCATCGGTCAAACTTGGCCAATTTTTATCCAACATTTTTTCGTGCTACAATTTTTTTGAGCTGCGTATAAACAAAGTTATTAATGTGTAAATTATAATAGTAACGTATAAATTACAATAACAATATATAAATTACAATAATAATATATAAATTACAATAATAATGTAGTGTGACGTTTTGCCGGATAATTTTCATCGTAAATGCATAAAATGCACATTCGATTAACAATCGATCGACTCACCTGGAAAACGGCCCAAAACTTGTAACTACCCTCGTTGATAAGGAAGTCGTAATAGCCGCCCCAATAGTCAACTTTCCCTTCCCCTATTGCCTTCATCTCTTTGTGTTCCTCTTCCTCGTGATGATCGTGATCATGATCGTACTCGTCTTCATCGTGACCACGTCGATACGCCCTCGGATGTCTAATAATAGCAAAAACTAGATCACACGTCGAGTTCGATGCAATTCGTGCACAATCGTTCTATCGAAGGCATTACTTTTGCTTAAACATCCTCTTAAAATTTTCATGGTATCCCATAATTATGTTACCACCCAGAAGGAGATGATTTCTGAGGTCATTTGAAGCAACTTTTTCCTTTGCGAAAATGTTCTACGAGGCTTCGTTCACGAGTTATTAACGAAAAACAGTGACCAGTGAGAGATCGCGTCCGACGCTCCGCCCTCGCGAGCACCGCCGCCGCGTCAGACGGCCGGCGCGACGCGCATTGGGCGGAGCGCCGTCCGCCCTCGCTCTCCGATTGGTCAGCGTTTTTCGTGAATAACTCGTAAACGAAGCCTCGTAGAACATTTTCGCAAAGGAAAAAGTTGCTTCAAATGGCCTCAGGAATCACCCCGTTCCAAGTGGCATCATAATTATGAGCGTATATCGTGTTTGCGATACAGCATTCGTTTCGTAGCTTCATTGTTGAAATATTTTATCAAACGCAAAACGTACCATTTTTAAAAATCACAATGTTATCGAAATCATTCGATTCGATTCATTAATTAAGCGTCCAACGTGTTTCGTAAAGTTGGAAATTTCGACAATGATTCGAATGATTAAAGTACCTGTATGCTTGCGGAGCCGTAAGAGCCTCGAAGTTTGTCACAGACTCGCTTTCCTCCAACGGTATCGTATCGACTCCGGGACGATTGCTACCGGTCGAGGCATAAGAGACACAGACGAAGAACAAAAGACACTGGCAGACTAAATTCATTCGCCTTCTATCTGAAATGTCGGAAATAAAGGCGCCGGCATACGCCATATAAAATTTTAATTCGATACTATAACATAACCTAACATATACATAATATTGCCAAAGGGGTCGCCATATAAAATTTTATATAATTCGTTAATATAACAAAACCTAACATATATTTAACCTTGCCAAAGGGGTCGCCGTATAAAATGTTGATTCGATACTATAACATAACCTATATATAACATATACATAATACTGCCAAAAGTGGTCGCCGTATAAAATTTTAATTCGATACTATAACATAACCTAACATATATTTAACCTTGCCAAAGGGGTCGCCGTATGAAATTTTAAATAATTCGTTAATATAACATAACCTAACATATTTAACCTTGCCAAAGGAGTCGCCGTATAAAATTTTGATTCGATATTATAACATAACCTAACATATAAATAACCTTGTCAAAGGGGTCGCCGTATAAAATTTTAATTCGATACTATAACATAACCTAACATATGCATAACCTCACGAAAGTGGTCGAAAGGCACTTTTTTACATTTTTCGTTCAATACTGTTTTTACCAAAACGGTCCAATCTTAATTTAAAATTTCGTTTTAGAAAGATCACTCACTTTTGTGGAATTAACTGTACCAT